GTGACAGAAAGGACTTGGGAATGCATGGATGACCAGCCAGTGCTCTATCTGTCCTCACCATCCTTGAGATTTCTGGCCCCAGTCCTGCACGACGGAGCCCCAGCTGCTTGGGAAATGGAGGGAGGAGCTTCTACCGCTAGGGGGCGCTGCAAGGAAACCCGTCTGACCAGGATGCTCCAGGCTGGTTTCCTTCTTCTCCCGCAGCGAAACTCTGATGAGCTCCCAGAGCAGCCGCTGCTTGTTCCTGGCACTGGGTCCTGCAGGCAGCCCTGGTGGGCAGTGCCCAGGCAGAGCTTAGGAGGCACGATGTGGGAAGGGGAAGCCCCCTTGGTTTCTGTCTCATAGCAGGGACCCAGCAGGGAAACCCCACGAGTCCTAAAAGGAAAGCGGCAGCGGTGGGTCTTGGGGAAGACCAAGAAACCCCATCCCCTCCCTGAAGATGGGAAATCCAGGGTGGGGCTGAGGGCGGGGCTGTGCTGGAAGGGAGACCGCTGGTTGATGTAGCCCAGCCCAGAAGCACGGGGATTCTTGTGGGTCCTGGCCCAACCCTGATCCTGACCTCACACAACCCCACCCTGGCCGCGAGCTGAACCCTGGTCCTAGCCTTCAACAAGCCCATCCCTGACCAGAGCAGAGCCCCAGAACATGGGTAGCTCTGACCCCAAACACAGACAGACCCAGGATGTGGGTCCCGGACTAGATTCGCATTCCAGCCCTCCACCAAATCCTGACCCTGGATAGGATGGAGCTTTAATCCTGTGCCTGATTCTGGCCAAAGACTGAGCTCTTGACCTTGGATGGAGCCAATCCTAGTCCCAGACATGTTCTTGGGCCTGGGTCTCATTCCCCTCTGACCCCAGTTTATAGACAGCTCTGATGCCATCCCTGAAATTCATCAGACCCAGCCCCCACCCACCTTGCACCAACACTCATCCCAGCCACCATTGAAATCTGACATCCCTCTCAGGCACACACCCCCCTCAGCCATCTGGTAAAACAGAGAGGATGAGGATGACTCAGAACCCCTAGTCCCCTTTGGTGGGCAATCCCCTTACCTGGCCATCCATCTTTTGGAGGACAATGGACTGTTGATGCCTCCCGGGTGATAGTGACAGAGCAGAGAAGCAGGAGGGGGTTTGAGTCCCTGGAACCCTCCCACGAATCGAGCTGGACAGCATGCCCCAGAAGGGGGGACCGAGGAAAATCCTCGACCTGAGAGCCAGGAGCTCAGATTCACTGAAACCCCAGCTTCCCGCCATCCCCCGTGCCTCCCACCCCCTCTGGGAAGGGAAATTACATTTCCCTATTTTAGCACAAGAGGTGGCGAAAAGCGAATACAAAGTTGAAAGTACAAGTAGGACGGAAAGTGAAACCGGGTGCAACCCCCAGTATAAGATTCCCCCCTACCCAGGAGATGGCTGGACAAAGAGGCTGGGCCCTGACATGGGCCAGACGGCAGGCGACCTTGGCTGGCGTGAGTTGGAAGTCAGGGCTGAAGTGGAGGGGCGGGAGGCTTGGGGGAGACTGGGCAGAGGATGGGAAGGCCTGACTGGTGTGGACGGAACGGAATCCATGGCATGGGGACAATAACTTAGCCAGGACCAAGGACCTAGCTCGTTGGAGCCTGGGACTGACCATGGCATAAGGAAGGGGGGGGGGGGGGCCTGGGGCAGTAGGGCGGGGCTGTGGTCCAGGGCAGGGAACAAGCGGGCCAGTTTTGCTGGGATGAATGAGAGGGACTGGACAGGCAATTTGACCAGGACCAGGATGAGGCAGATACATGAAGTTTGAAGTAATCGAGCCAGAGGTGGATGGTGAGGCTGAGACTGAGAACTGAAGCCAGTCAGAGGAAGTGCAGCAGGGTGAGTTGGCACAGATGGGGGCTGAGGGTAAGGAACCAGCATCCTGAGTTGGACACAGGTCTTTAGTCCAAAGGTGGGAAGGAGGTCCAATCTGCAGTTGGCAGCTAAAGAACTCAGGGGCTGGTGCCAGAGCTGTATGCAGAGGAGAAGTTGGTGCCTCTAGGTAGGGCTGAGGGCTTGAGGGTGAGGAGCGAGCCTTGAAAGGCCAGAGCCAAGAACCCAGGACTAGATACAAGGGTATGGAGCCGCTGGGGACTCTAGAGTTCAGGCAGGAAGAGGAGTAAAGTTCAGGTGACACAAATCAATCCGGAGAGGCAATACCACAAGGGCCTGGGCCCCCAACATAGAGCTAGGAAGAAGCCTCTTCTGCCTTGGGTCTCCAGGATGCCAGAGGGTCAGAGTGGCCCCCAAGCCAGGGAACTAGAACACCAGAGATCTTAGGCGTGGCCCACATCCTCTGGAAGTCCATGGGGGGAAGTGGGTGGCCCAGAAACTCCTCTTACCCTTTGCTGAGAGGCACTTTGAGAAGCAGTGTGCAGGGATTAGAGATTATCCTTGGTACAGGAAAGGGGCCCGGAGAGCAGCAAGAGTGGGGATGGACTGGGGTTCTGTTTTAGTTTGAGTTTCGATGGCAATTGTGTAACTTCATGATGGCTAGACTTCCTCACCCGAGGGAGAAACCACTGAACACTGCCCTCTGCCCCAGGCACCCATCCTGTGGCCCCCTTCCCTCTTTCCAGGAAAACATAGGGCTTGAAGCACCCTCTGATGCCCGCTGGTCTGACCCCCACTTTGCAGATGGGGGCCTGAGGCATAGAGAAGAGACAGCTCGCTCAAAGGAAGACCAGGATGAGAAACAGAGTGCCCCCCTCCCATGCCAAGCCCCCTCCCTCCCTTCCCAGCACCCCCGCCCTTCCTACTCTCATGCCACAGACTTGCCCCAGGTGGATTCTGCTGCAGAATGACCCTCGCCTTGGCGGAGGCCTTACCACATGGGATAGAACCACAGGTCATGCCATCCCTGGGGCCCCTGGTAGCCAGTTCAAGGCATCAGAGCCGCCTGGCTGAGCCCAAGGAATCCTTGGCAGAACAGACAGTCCCCACTCCTGGGCAGGTAGCTGCCTCCTCTGAGGTCCCTGGGGAAAGCAAGTGGACTGTATGTTTGGACAGATCTGGAATCCAGCCCTGGCTCCCCACCCCCGTCTCTGCTATCTGAACTTGGGCCAGTCCCCTTCATTGAGCCCATTCTCCTCTGCAAAAGGGAGAGAATTAACAGCAACCAGTTGTGCCACTCAGAAAAGGCACTTGGCCAGGGAAGTGAGTAGGGAGACAAGATCCAGCCTTGGGTCTGCTTACAAAAATGAGCACTTCGTGCAGACTTCATATGGTGGCCTCAGTGGTCCCCATCATGCTGTGGAGGGGCCGTGTGAAGATACCTGAGAAAGTTTGCACTGGGGCTTGCACAGTGCACAGGCTCAGAAAAGTCACATTCCCTTCCTTCTCTGAGTTCCTCCCAAGCCCACATCTTGCTCCCCACCCGTCTCTCCAGGGCTCAGCCTATTACTGCTCTCCTTACTCCTGGTGCAAGCTGGTGTCTGGGGATTCCCAAGGCCCCCAGGGAGCCCCCCTGTGAGCCTGCAGGAGCTGCGCAGGGAGTTCACGGTCAGCCTGCATCTTGCCAAGAAGCTGCTCTCCGAGGTCCGGGGCCAGGCTCATCGCTTTGTGAGTTTTCCCTAATGCAGCTGGCTATAGGGATGAGGAGACCGTCAATCCCCATGGGCCACCACTAACAGACTTCGCCCTTCAGGCTGAATCTCGGCTACCAGGAGTGAGGCTGGACCTGCTGCCCCTGGGAGAGCAGCTCCCCAACGTTTCCTTGACCTTCCAGGCCTGGCGCCACCTGTCCGTGAGTGAAGGGGGCTGGTGGGGCGGGGCCAGGAAGCTGGCAATAGACAGGGCAGCATAGAGACAAGTTGGGGATTGATTTGGGGACAGAATCTGGATGAGATTGAGTGTGTGTGGTTGGATACAAAGATGAAGCAAGAGGGCTGGGGTTGTAGCTCAGTGGTAGTGCACTTGCCTAGCATGTGTGAGGCACTGGGTTCGGTTCTCAGCACTGCATATAAATAAATAAAATAAAGGTCTATCAATAACTAAAAAAATATTTTTTAAAAAAAGATATGCAGAGATTTGGAAATAAGGATTAGGAAGAGGGAAAAGAGTGAAGCCGGGCATGGGAATGGAGTGGATTGGGAATGAGTGGGATGGAGTTGGTGTTGGATGGGAAGAGAAGAAAGGTTGATTAGGGATGAGGGCAAAAATCAGGCGGAGGATGGAGAAGGGATGGAGATGGCTGGTGGAATGGGAGTTAGAGATGAGATGGGGAGACGGTGAGAATGCATATGGAGGAAGGACCCACCTGGGACCAGGAATGGGAATGAGGGTGGGAAAGAGGTTGGAAACAGAATGAAAACGAGTGCACAGGAGACAGGAAGGGACGATGGGAGAGGGGAGTGGAGTGGCAGAGGAAGAGTAATGGGTATGGGACGGGGTGAGAGAGGAGTTGGGGCATGGGACAGGAAAGGAGATGGGATAGAGGTCAAAGACAATGGAGGTGGGAAGTCTGATGAGCACAGGAAGGAAATGGGGATGGAGATGAGGCTGACAATAGAAACAGGAGACTGGAGCGGGAATGAGCCTGGGCTTGATCCAGGGGTTGGGTAGGGTCATGCTTGACCTACCCTTGCCCCTCCCCTTCAACAGGACCCAGAGCGACTCTGCTTCCTCTCCATGATGCTTCAGCCCTTCCATGCCCTGCTGGGAGGCCTGGGGAGGCAAGGCGGCTGGACCAGCTCAGAGAGGATGCAGCTGTGGGCCCTGCGGCTAGATCTCCGGGACCTGCAGTGGCATTTCCGCTTCCAGGTAGAGTGCCCACGCACCCTCTTTGACCTGCTAAGACCAATGCACAAAACTGAGGTTCACTGATCCGCTTTACAGAACACCCCCTGCCCTCAGGTTGGGCGAGTCTGGAGGGAGGTGCTCCTCTGAGCAAGTATACGAGAATGTGCAGGAGGGTGTAGCCACACAGGGTCCTACACAGGGTCCTGGCTCTGCCACCCAAGTCCCTGCTTTCTTTTGGGGTTGGTCTTTAGTGAGATAAGGGCGTTGGCGTACCCAGGACAGACTGCCATCGGCAGGCCCTGCAGTGAGGTCAGTGCCCTTCTCCCCGTGGTTCTCTGACATCACCCAGATCCTCCCGACCATTTCTAAGAGCAATAGAAATTTCAGTCTTAATAAAAAGGAAATGGAGGGCTGGGCTTATGGCTCAGTGGTAGGGCAGTTGTCTAGCGTGTGTGAGTCACTGGGTTCAATTCTCAGCACCACATATAAATAAAATGAAAGTCCATTGACACCTAAAAAAGTTAAAAAAAAAAAAAAAAAAAGGAATGGAAACACAAGCAGCAGATAAACTGGCTGCACCCTACCTCTGACCATTTCTGATGCTGAGACAATCCAAAATGGCAGGGAGGAACTTCCAGAACCCCAATCCCCAGGGCAACCCAGCTCTGTGAGCATCCTCTTGCTCCAAACTTCTATCTTCTTTTATATCTATCTATCTATTTACTTACTTATTTATTTATTTATTTAGTTGTAGGTGGATACAATTTTTTTTCACAGCACATCAATATTTATTTTTATTTATTTATTTATTTATTTATTATTATTAGTTGTTCAAAACATTACAAAGCTCTTGACATATCATATTTCGACAATATCTTTATTTTATTTTCATGTGGGGGCTGAGGATCGAACCCAGGGCCTCATGCATGCAAGGTGAGCACTCTACCACTGAGCCACAACCCCAGCCCACAAAATTCCATCTTCTTAAGCTCAAAAAATCAGGTTAAGACACGTGAGATGACGACATGGAAGATCTGAAGCGAGGGTTATCCAGGGGACTGATGTCATCAGGAGCCACTGGGCTCATATAAGGAATGAAGATTTGCTCAGGTTCTCCGCCTGCCCACTGTCTGAGCTGCGGATCTGTCTTCCTAGGTGCTGGCTGCAGGATTCAACCTGCCCCAGGAGGAAGAGGAGGAGGAGGAGGAGGAGGGGAAGGGTCTGCTCCCAGGGGCTCCAGGGGACTCTGCACCAGCATCATCGGCCCAGGTGTCCTGGCCCCAGCTGCTCTACACCTACCAGCTGCTGCACTCCCTGGAGCTTGCCTTGTCCCGGGCTGTGCGGGATTTGCTGTTGCTGTCCAAGGCCGGGCACCCAGGCCTGAGTTGGGGCTCTCAACACCCAGATCCCGGCCAGGATGGAACGATGTTTTAGCCCCTTTCCCTCACTCTTTAGGACTTCAGGACTAGCTTCAGACCCTGCCCAATAACTTAAAGCCCCTCCAGTCCTTGCCAGATATTTATTTCTTAGATATTTATTTATTACCTAGGGAGTTTATTTATTGTTTCATCTTTGGGCCAGGCTGCCACATTGCGTGCCTAATAAAGCCCTCTCACTCTCTCTTTGCTTCAAGATCTTTTCACAGAAGGGATGTCCGACACTCAAAGGACCTGGAATGGAGCTGGTGGCCTCTGGTTACCCAGAACCCCTCTCTGCTCCTACGTTTTCCGGGTGTCCTGGTCCACCTTCCCCCCACTGTGACCTGCTCAATTGGCAGTTGCCATAGCAATCAGCAGAGTTCCGAAGTTGAACTATCAGTTTGGAAACTCAAGGCAGCTGACCTGCTGCTCACCGACCTTGGAGACCAAAGTGGTGTCCCCGAGGCCCTTCAGACCTCTTTCCCGTGGGTGGGCTTCCCCTCCTCTATGGCTCTCTGAGGGGTCCAGGTATGGTTGAGGGCTGCAGGGGACAGAGAGGGAAGGCTGTGGGGAAATTCTCCAATTCCCCCCCTTCTCCTCGCAGTCTTCTGGGTAGCTGAGACCGGTTGGGGAGGTAACCGGGACAGGAACTCACGAGAGGCGGTCCCAGTGGCACGGGAGGTCTAGAGTCAGATTCTTCAAGTTCATGGCCTTCACAGATGTCTAGTTATGTTCACTCCATGAAGGACACACCCAGAAACCCAGGCCCCGAGGGTGGGAAGAATGCATCCAGGTGGCAGAGAGAGTCAGGGGTGAGCAGGTCCCCGGGGAGCCCTGTGACTCTCACAGTCCAGCTCAGCCGGGTCAGGTCTCAATCACTGGGGCTTCGGCCGACCCAGGCGGGCTTGCAGCTCCTGCATCATGCCCGGGTGTGCCAGGCCAAACCTGGAGGTGGAAGACAGGTGCATGGGAGCTGGTCCTCAGAGGCCCACAGCCTCCACCCTATCCCAGCCCAGTGCCCCTGTGCCTACCCGAGTCCCAAAGTCTTTCTCCTGGCTGGCACTGGGGTCCCTTCAGGTCTCGGGGGGCTTGGCTCTGGGGCCTCCTCCAGCTGGAGTGGCCTCTGCTCAGGGGCTGACAGTCCCTCCTCGGGCTGAGGGCTAGGAGGGTCCTCCGGCTCCTCGGAGGCCTGGACTCGCCGGAAAGAGGGCCGAGAGCGACGCTGTGAGGAGCTTCGGGAGAGGAGGGCACGGCTCCTCGGGGCAGAGACATCCAGGAGGGGCCCAGGAAGCAAGGCCTGCAAGGGAGCAGGGGGACAGTTCAGTGGGCTGACTTCTAGAGATGGGGCTTGTCCCCCCCTGGACCTCACCGGAGCCCTCACCTCACACCAGCTGCCGTGAGTGTCCCCTCTGGCACTTCCTGCAGCCTCAGCAGTGTCCGAGAGCCCAGGCAGGACCTCCACAAGGCCCTGCTGTGTCAGCTGCACCTCTTGGCCTTGAACATCCTCCAGGCTTTCTGGATCCGTCTCCTTGGCCTCTGACCTCTGGCCTCCAGTCCCAGAGTCCTCCACAGGCGGCAGCCTTTGTCCTTCTCCCTCAGGGTGGTGGTCCCCACACTGCCCCTCACTGTCTGTCCCCTGCTCTCCGGCTTGCCAGCCCCCAGCCTCTTCCAACAGCTGCTCTCCCAGGAGCCCCTCAGCCTCCACTTTGGCTTCAGTGCCCTCTGCTCTTGCTGCCTGGGAGCCTGAGGTAACGCCCTCCACCCCACCACTTCCTTCTGCCGTGGCAGGTCCCCCCACCCCTGCCTCATCTCCAGCCCTGGCCTCAAAAGCCTCTGCTTCACCATCTCTGCCAGTCACCTCCTCCCCTGCTGAGCCTTCTAGGCCCAAATCCTGCCCACCTCGGTTCCCTCCCTCTGCAGCCTCCACCAGCTCTGCCTCTCCCTCAGCCTCCTCTCTCTCTTCTGAGTTCCAGCCTCTCCCATACTCCCCCACCCAAACTGCCCCAGACTCCTGGAATTCTGGCCCTTCCTCAGCCCCAGCAGCCCCCACAACCAGGACTGCCTCATCCTCCACAATCTCAGGAGCCAAAGAACTGGTCTGTGCATCCTCCTGGTTCTGGAGGCCCAGAGCTGCCTCCTCCAGCCTCCAGCCTCCCCTGGATGTGAGGTCTGCCTCCGATGGTCCTGAGGCCTCCACTTCACTATCCTTAGTTTTTCTGGCCTCTGTTTCTCCTGGTGACTGGTCTTTCTCTGCCTCTTCCCCTTGAATTTCCTGCAGCTCCTGGTTTTCTGCTACAAAGCCCTCCCCCTCCTGGGCTGCACATCCTTGGATCTCTGACAAGTCAGACTCCCAGCCTCCTTTGGCCTTGGCCTCCAGTGCCTGACCTCCTGTAGCCTCCTCCTCCTCATCTTCAGTATCTGTTTTTTCCTCCTGGATGTTACTACTTTCCCTGTCCCTTCTCCTCTGGTTTTCCCAGTCTTCTCCCTCAGGGACCTCAGGATCTATAGACCCCGTGTGCCTGGAATGTTCCTCCAGCCTCCCCTCCATCTCCTCTGTCCTCAGGTCTGAAACTCTCCCGAGTTCTTCCTGAACCCCCTGTCCTTCCTCAGGTTGCTCTGTTGGGGTCAAGACACCTCCCATCAGCTCAGGCTCCTGGCCTTTGGTGACCTTGAATTTGAGGTCATCCCACTCCTCCTCCAATGTTTCTTGGCTCCTCTGAGCCTCCTTACTTCTCTCCTCAACAAACTCTTCATCAGGCCTGGCCTCTGGGGCTGCCTCCAAGTCATCATCACCTCGAGCCTCTTTGTCCAGGGCCAGCTCAGCCTCTGTGACCAGGCAACTCCCTTCCTCCTCCCAGTCCTCCTTGGCTTGTACCTCCTCCTCCTCCTCTGGACGAGCTCCATCAGCCCTGATCTGCTCATCTTGCCTCCCCTCGGCCTCTTTCCCGTGCTGATCGATGTCCCCCTCAAAGCCCTCCCCTGCCTCCTCCTCTGACTCGGGGCCTTCTGCCTCCCTCCCTGCTGTCTGGCCCTCAACTGCCTCAGTGCCCAGGACCTGGGTCTCTTGGGGGAAAAGCTTCACTTCAGTCTCTCCCTTCTCCTCTTCTTCAATCTTGATCCCAGGAACTTCCAGGATCCTTTCTCCTGGGACTGGCCCATATTCGGTCTCCCTGACTCCTGGGAGGTCAGACTCTTCCCTGGCTAAAGCTGCCGCGATCTGCTCCTTGTCTGAGGAGGTTATTCTGGCCTCTTCTCTGCCCAAGGCTGCCCAGTCCTCAGACTCTACCCCTGTCCCCTGTGTCCCTATGCTTTGGCCATTCCTCACCACTACCACCCCCTCTTCTTCCCTCTCAGGCCCTCTGACCTCAAAGTTTTCAGTTTCTGCAGCTGCCTCGGAAACCACTTGCTCTGTCTCCCCACTGTCCCCTGCCACCTTCTGCCCGCTACTGCCCGCCTTCACCTCAGGCTCTCGGTGCCAGGTCCACTCTGACTCCACCCCCCTGGCCATCCCTGGCTCTGTCACCCTGACCTCTTCCTCCTCCTCCTCATGTTCCCAGTGTCTCGGTGTCTCCCCTCTGCTCACTTCCTGCTCACCAGGCTCCTGTCCTTCCTTGGAGTGACCGCTCCTGTCTTGCTGAGCCCTGGACCCTGCCTCAGACTTCTTCCCAGCCTCCAGGGGTATACTTGGCTCCTGGTCCCCGGAAGCCCTGGCTGCCTCCCGGGTCTCAGTGTCCTGTCTATCTGCTTGAGAGCCCTGGGAGCTACCTTTTCCCCAGCCCCAGGTCTGTTCTGCAGCAGAGCTTCCCTCTGGGCATCTCCCAGCCTCTCCAGGCTCTCCTGGCTTCCCAAACCCCTGGCTCCGGCGGTCTCTAAGGCTTTCCAGGGCCTCCTGGGCTTCCTCCTCTACAGTCTTCTCTGGCTCTCCTGCTGCTACCTCCTGCAGTTCTTTGGCTACCTGTGCCTCCTGCTGTACAGTGGGGACCTCATCTCCTATGAGGTAGGACAAAAAGGCACTGAAGGAATCCTAGAGGAAAAGAGTGGAGAAGGTCAAGGCATGCAGGGAAGGCCAGGCCCGGCCCCTTCCCTGGGGGCCCTGGGCCAGAGGAGCCCAGAGTAAGGCAGACGGGTTAGGGATCTGGGCAGACAGGGAGAACAGGATCTGCAGAAGGAATGAGAAGGTTCCTAGACTGAGGGTGTTGGATGCACTTGTGGGAAGTAGGAGATTAAAGCCCAGAAAGAACTGGTCAAGGAAACTGCCTGGCCCTGTGAAAGGAACCTCTAATCTGAGGAGAGGTTCAAAGGGAGGAGGTGAAGACACAGAGAATGGGGTGAAAGTCTCTGGCATCTCTTTGCCCCTCTCACCAGTGCCCCCCTCAAGGCCTGATGCAGCCCAGGGAGGTGTAGCCGGAGGAAGTCCATCTTGTGTGTTTCTGTGTGTCCAGAAAGCTGACAAATGGCAGTCCCCACCCACCAAGACAAGACAGTCTTCCCCAGGACCTAAGACACTTCCTCTTCCCCTGTCTCTCCCTGACGCATCCCCAGGCCCTGCCCACCTTCCCCAGGGCCACAGCAATCTCCACCCCAGGTGGGGAAATGGGTGTGCGTCACCTGTGGGTCACAGGTGCACGTTCGGAGTTTTAAAGCGCAAAGGGTGAGAACGGAAAGAAAGAAGTGGGAGCAAGGGACCTCAGAATTGGGGATGGGGGAAGGGACGTGTGGCAACTGCAGAGGAGTGACTCAGGTCTTGAATTCACACCTCAGCCATTTCCGTCTGCCCCAAGCCACAGCCTTTCTGAGAGAGGAAGCCGGGGTTTCTAGTTCCTGTTTTGTCCAGGGACCGAGCGGAGGAGTGAAAAGGGCTGGTGGGAGCTCTGGCTTCCCAATTCCAAGTCATTAATGCTTCCCTAGGGCATAAAGGGTTGGTTGGTGGCTCTTCCACTCATCCCCTCATCCATGCTTATTCTTGCAAAAAGGACTTGACTAACTTTGTACCGTGCTCATTTGCATCTACCTCCCACACTCCTGTGAGTTCCCTGAGGGCAGGAACCCTGTAGGAAATGCTGCAGAATTTCTAGAGCTCTGCAGGGGTAGTAGGACCTCATTTCTCATTGGTTGCGTGATCTGGGAAGCACATCGCAAGGGGCACGTTTCAAAGAGCAGTCTGAAGGCCTGGTGGTGGGAAAGAGCTAGTAGAGATGGGCACAGACAGCTGCAAGACGTAACAGAGTTTTTCACAGGGGAAGGACACGATGAAGAAAAGCAAGGATTCTGCTTTACCTAGAGGAAGGTAAGAGAATGACTCCTTATTTGAGACTATATGAAGTGGCCTCCCCCTCTCCCCTGCCAAGCCCCACTTTCCTAATTTTCTAGGGCAATTGGGTGAGATCACAGAATAGAATCTTAGGACTTAGAATCTAAGGACCTCTGATGGAGCGGGAATCCAGCAGCGGTCTGCCCAATGACGCTCTGCCTCTGCACTCTTATTTCTTTTCTTTATTTTTTGGTTTTAGGTGGATACAATAACTTTATTTTTATGTGGTCCTGAGGATCCAACCCACTGTCTCACATAGGCGAGCACTCTACCACTTGACCCACAACCCCTGCCCCTGCGCTCTATTTGTTGCTAAATGGGTCTCTAAGGTCTAATGTTATGTGCTAGTCGTTAACTTTTTTTTTTTTGTTACTTCGTTTTTTTCTTTTTTAACGGCAGGGTTTGAATTCTTATTTTGTTTTTTTTGTTCTTGGGTTACCGGGGGAAGGGTTTTTTTTTAGGGCTTTGGTTGTTTTCCTTAGATAATTCAGGAAATCCTCATAGTTGGCTATTATCTTTATTTTAGGTTTCTAAAACAGTATGTAAGGGTATCAGATAGAAATGAGTGACTGGAGTTTGGCTCTCTTTGCTTCCAAACAATGGCTCCCAGGGGGTGAGGTAGGGGAGGGCTGGGTGGCCATATTTGCTCCTGGCAAGCGAGGGCGGCTGGAAAAGGGTTGAAGCCGCCCGCGCCATGACGAGTGCTGGCAGAATTCGGCCACGGCTTTCGAGACCGATAATCGCGGCTCTCCCTGGCCCCCACCCGCTCCAGTTTAAAACCAGCGGTGCCAAGGCTCCCCTGGATTCTACCTTTCTCACGCCCTGAAGTTGAAAAGGCCGAAAGCCAAGGCAAGAGGAGGGCCCGGAAGTAGGGAGGACCTCCGAGCACGTGATGGGGGAACCTGCGGGTGATGTCACGTGACCCACCAACCTGCGGGGGCTCCTCGGTGCGGAACGTTCTGCTGCTCTTAAAGGTACAGGCCTCGGCGCCCGCTCCCCCCCTCCCGCCTGCTTTAGAGGGGACAGAGGCGGAGTCCGACACGTGGGGCGTGGTGGGGAGTGGGAGGGCGTGTGACGGAACCTTGGGATCTCCTGATGGATCCTGTGGCGCGAACACAGCAGGCAGCCGGAGCTAGGTGTGGCAATAGGGCCTTAACCAATGTCACCTGTCACAGACCCTCTGCCACCCGGTCAGAGCCAACTCGCTGACTTTGGACCCTTCGGGGCATCTGAACTTGATGCCATGGGAGGCTGTGAGGGCTCCAGGTGGCGCCTTTTGGATTCCGAGAGTGAGTATTTATGGCCCGCCCCGTCGGGAGTGACTTCCTCAGCCTTATGGACATCCTAGGGGCTTGGAAGCTGGCTTCGTCTGGGGAAAGACCCTCGCAAGGTAGTCGTGCACCTGAGAGTGGGAGGGGTCATGTGTTCTTCTAATTCACAGGGGAGGAGACCACCTCTGAGCCCCAAGCCCCTCTGTTGGAGCCTCAGAGTGCCCATTGGAAGAATGCGGTGGGCTTTTGGTAAGTGGCCTAAGAGCTCAGCTAAAATAAAAATGCAGCAGCAGGAAATGGGGGAGAAAAGTTGAACTGCACAAAGAAGCTGAATCCTCAAATATTTACTTAGTTAACTGGTTTGTCCGGAAGCTGCCTGTGAATTTTCGAAAATCCACTCGTTTGCTTACCATCTTCACCTATGAGCCAAGATTTTCAGTACCATCTGTAAGATCACTCACTTCATATTCTCCAACCAATTCAGCCTCAGTCTCAACATTTTAAAATTCAGGTATTAAAAAGAAAGGAAGGAAGGTTAGGCCCTTCTTTCAATTGGAAAACCAATATTTTGCTAATGCACGTTCAAATAAATGGATCACTGCTAAAACTTTTTACAAGATCATCCATGCACCTTCCAAAAGCATTCAGATACTGAGCCTTGGGAAGTACTGCTAGTATTAGCTTACCCCATTAAGTCACAAGTTTTTAGTTCTTTGAATATTTCAATGAAATTGACCCAGATGCATTAAAATAGATTGAGGTTATATATATCTTTTATCCATGTTTTCAGCATTTTTTTCAAATGCTGTTGGTAATCTCTTTTCTCAAGAAAGTAGAACTGTGAAAGCATGATATTGATTTCAAAAGTTCCTATAAATGGTACAGTTATTGCTCAATTTGAGTTTTTATATGTGTCACACATTTAACTTAATGAGTTAACTGTGGAGGACTTGGGTGGCAGGTTGGGTTGGAAGAGGCTTACCATGTAACTCTTTGGAAGAGTGACTTGATTTCTCTGAGCTTCAGTTTCTTCAATAGTAAAATAGAAAGAGCCACATCACAGGTTTGTGAAAAGGACACATGAAAACTCTTGACACTGGGCCAAATTTCTTTCCTATCAATGAGCACAACTTTGGAAGTTGAAAGTAAGTGAAGACATGGACCACAAATGATTTGGGCATTATTTTAATCTTTATAGCACCCTGGGGAGGTAGTCAGGTGAGGAATTTATATTCCCATTTTACACATGAGTTGGACTGAGACACCTGAAAAGGAAGTGGCAGACTTGGGACCACAATGGTCTTTTGGATTTCAAACTCTGGGATATTTTTATTGTACTACAGGCATCAGTGGTTGAAAAATGGCCTAGGATATTAAAAGATAGCTTTCTGAAAGGGGCCATGGGAACTTGGAAGTGAACCCAAGTCTCTGATCTCCAAACCTGTATTTCTAACCCTGACATTGAAAGAAGATGGGATTTGGTGAAGGGTGCAGATAAGAAAAGATTATAGGCAGGAAAGTAAGTGAAGATTTGTCCTGCTCATTCCAGGCTCCTGGGCCTTTGCAACAATTTCTCCTACGTGGTGATGCTCAGTGCGGCCCACGACATCCTTAGACAGGAGAGAGCCTCTGGGAACCAGAGCCATGTGAGTGCGTCCCTCTCCACTTCTACCACCACCATGGTTAGTCCCTGTGGAAAGGACTAACCAGAGTCCCCCACTTGAGAAACTCATGAAATAAAGTGGCCCATGGGGCAAGAGGGCTTAAGTTCCTAGTCTTCCTGGCACCTATGTCAGGGAAGGTCCTTAGGAGATCAATAGGTGCCAAATGGCTAGGGAGGACTATAGTTTATGGCAGTGTTTCTCTTTCTTTCTTTCTTTCTTTCTTAACCACTGAGCCACACTCTTAGCCCTTTTTATTTTGAGACAGGGTCTCCCTAAGTTAACTGAGGCTGGCCTAGAACTTGTGATTCATCTGCCTCAGCCTCCTGAGTCACAGGGATCACCAGTGTGCGCTAGCATGCCTAGTTTTATGGCTAGGTTTTTTTGGTTTTGTTTTGGTTTTGGTACCAGGGATTGAACCCAGGGGTGCTTAACCACTGAGCCACATCTCCAGCCCTTTTTTAATATTTTATTTAGAGGCATGGTCTTGCTGAGTTACATAAGGCCTCACTAAATGGCTGAGGCTGGCTTTGAACTTGGAATCCTTCTGCCTCAGCCTCCCAAGCCGCTGGGATTACAAGCGTGCGCCACCAGGCCCAGCTATGGTTGGGTTTTTAACCTGAAGCTGGTGATTGTTTGCTATGGGATTCTCCTGTGCATTGTAGGATGTCTAGCAGCATCCTGTGCTTCTAATTACTACTCGCTAATAGCATACCCCTGACAAACAAGAGTGACAGCCAATAATGTTTCTAGACATTGACAAGAATACCCTGGAGGTTAAAATTGCCCCCAGTTGAGAAACAGTTGGCTATAGTGAGCTGGAAGTACATGCCCTATCCAAACAGAGCAGCTACCACTTTGTAGGTCCAACAGGGAATTTGGTTCCATCTTTCAAATTAGAGCTGAGCTGGGACTGGGGCCATGTCTACCCTCCTTCCTCCCTAGGTGAAAAGCTTTTTTTCTCTCCCATCAGGTAGACCCAAGCCCAATGCCCATTCCCCACAATAGTTCATCTCGATTCGACTGCAACTCTCTCTCCACAGCTGTGAGTATCCATCTGGTCCCCCACCGTGAACCCCTTGGCACATAGCTGGGATTGTTATGATTACGGTTATTGAGACTGCTTGTTACGAGGCTCTTCCCATGAGTGGCACATATTAACTCATGTAATCCGCAAGCTAGTCCTACGAGTTAGGTACTGTAAGCATCCCCACTTCCCTGATTGGGTGGGAGGGACCCCCTAAACAAACAAACACACATGCGCGCACACACACACACACACACACACACACAAATCCAGATCTGTCTGATTCCAGAGTCTGTACTTGTAGCAGGTCTCATTGGCTGCCTCCTTTCTTCCCTTGGCCACTTGTTGGGGAGGATTGTCCCTAGGAAGGTCTGGAGTCTCACTCTCTTGTCCTGTTGCAGGCAGTGCTCCTGGCTGACATCCTCCCTACCCTCATCATCAAATTGCTGGCTCCTCTAGGCCTTCATCTGCTGCCCTACAGGTCTGAGTGGGGGGTGGAGGGAGAAAGGGCAGGCATGATCAGAGAGCTGGGAGGAGTGGCAGGAGGCCGCAGAGCCAAGGGAGGAGGCTGACCTTCCACTTCCCCTTTCTCCATTCGCCCTTAGCCCCCGGGTGCTCGTCAGTGGGGTTTGTTCTGCGGGCAGCTTTATCTTGGTTGCCTTTTCTCACTCAGTGGCGATCAGCCTGTGCGGTGAGTCTCCAGTTTCATGTCTAGTGAACTGGCCCAGAGGAACCTCAGCGGGGTGGTGTACGGGGCGGTCTCCCCAGCTTCCCAGAGGAAAGGGGTTATTTCTGCAGCCCACAGAAGCCTTCTGGGGCTGCCACAAGCAGGAAATGGGAGGCAGGGCTACTTGGAGGGGGTAGGTAGTGGAAGTGGGAGGATTGATGGAGGTTGAACTGAGCAGGGTTTGCCAAACACACCACCACAGGGGGTGGAGGAGACAGGGAGGGTCCTCCCCACTCCTGGCTGCATAACTGGGTACCATTCTCTGCAAGAGGACATGCAGAGAAGGGGGGTAGCTCTACTTCATAGCTGAACCCAGCCTCTCCAAGAGCTCTGACTTAGCTCCTCTGAGCTGATACACACAAGGCCATGCTCAAGCACCTTCAGGAACTGGGGCTTTGGGGCCACTTCTGTGCTTGTCCTCCTCCCAGGTGTGGTCTTGGCCAGCATCTCATCAGGTCTGGGGGAGGTCACCTTCCTCTCACTCACTGCCTTCTACCCCAGGTAAGCAACATGGCAGAGAGTGAGGACAGAGGCCATTTCCCCGCTGACTTCGGTCCTCCTGAGAGCACCTGTGTTCTCCTTCCCAGGGCTGTGATCTCCTGGTGGTCCTCAGGCACTGGGGGAGCAGGACTGCTGGGGGCACTGTCCTACTTGGGCCTCACCCAGGCTGGCCTCTCCCCACAGCACACCCTGCTGTCCATGCTGGGGATCCCTGCCCTGCTGCTGGCCAGGTGAGCAGTCCTGGGCTGGAAGGAAGAAAGAGGGGAGGGGGCAGGACTTGATCATATCCCAATCTTCAGATCCCAAAATTTTTGTTGAGAAGGATAATAGATTTTTAAAAAATTTATTTTGGTACCAGAAATTAAACCCAGAGGCGCTTAACCACTGAATCACATCCCCAGCCCTTTTTATATTTTATTTAGAGTCAGGGTCTCATTGAGTTGCTTAGAGCCTTGCTAAGTTTCAGAGGCTGGCTTTGAACTCACAATCCTCCTTCCTCAGCCTCCCAAGTCACTGGGATTCTAGGCAATGAACCACTGTGTCTGGCAGGAGTGTGGATTTTGTATCCTGACAGGTGTATATACTGCTATTCCAGTTCTAGAGTCCCGGAACTGCCACTTGTTACCTGTGTGACATTCGACAAGTTCCTTCGCTCCTCTGACCCTCGGTTCCCCCCCCATATCAAATGGCGGTAGTTCTCGCATTCCCACGAGGGGACACGTGTGAAGCATTTGGCACAGTGTGGTCCCCAAAAGGATTCTAGTAGGACAAGGGTGGACTTTATTCTGCATATGTTTTCATAAGAATCAGGAAACAATTGTTATGAGCCAATTGAACCTGTGACCTCCCAGCTCATAGCTTAGAACAAGGCCAGGTATAAAAAAAAAGCAATCAATGTAAAGGAAATGTTAAGTTAAAAAAAAAAAAAATTACACATAGGAAGAATGGAGAAATAGCAGATAACATGAAGCCAGAGCCTAAGTGAGCAAAGGTTGGGAATTTCTGGCCTAGACAAAGTCCCCATGGAGTAGGCCATACCTAGAGCCGTCATTAGAATGGGATGGAACCGCCTGCTTAGAGAGGGGCAGCAAGCATCCAGGGGCCTTGGGTAGTTGGAAGGAGGCATTTGTCCATAATAGGGGCTCTGCAGCATGGAAATGGGGTACCTGAAGCTCCCCATCATTGGAAGCCTACGCATACCAGGTGTGCCCTGGAAAGGGGTGGCCTTCCTGGCCTCGGGCGTCCTTGCCAGCCCTACAGGGCTTGTTGACTGTTCTTCCTTTTGTTCCTTTTTAGCTATTTCTTGTTGCTCACATCTCCCGAGCCCCAGGACCCTGGAGGTGAGGACGAGGCGGAGACCGCAGCTCGACAGCCCCTCATAGGCTCGGAAACCTCAGAGTCAAAGCCAGGTAGGAGGTGCAGGCCCCCACGAGGGCACTTTCTGCATTGGGGTTTTCCTCGTTTCCTCTCTGCAGTGGGCACAGGACGCGGCTGGGTCGGGTTGGTTCCAGTCAAAACTTGGGCCAAGAGCTGCTTACTAAGTACTGGCTGTGCCAGACATTCTGACTGCTTTGGGGACAGTGAATGCTCAAGACGAGGAAATGAGACAGTTCATAAGGGAACCAGCGAGTCAAAGTTATCTTTATTTTCATATATTGATTGATAAGCATGGGAAGGACGTAAAAACAGTGATATGATGCAATGGCAGTTGAAGGGAGGCGGGGAAGGATTGGTGTTGTCTTTTAGAGAATGTTCTAGTTCAGAGAAGGCCTTTTGGAGAAGATGTTTGGGCTGAGACTTGATTGACAGGTTGTCTAGGTGAACAGGTTCTAGGCAGAGGGAACATGGGGAGCTGGGGCCCTGTGGTGGGAATGAGCTTGGATGTTCTAGGAGCAGAAGAGCCAGCAAGGCAGGGGTGGAGTATGCAGATGAGCATCTGTACACAGAGATATGAAGAGGTTTCAGCTAGTGTCCTTTTCTTTGATTTTTGAGATGGGATTCCCCCTATATTGCCCAGGCTGATCTTGAACTCCTGGGCTCAAGTGATCCTCTCTCCTCAGCCTCCTCTGTATCTGAACTCCAGGCATGTGCCATTTCCCCTGGCTAACTTCTCTGTGTGTGGTGCTGGGAATAGAATATACTAGACAAGTGTTCCAGTACTGCTGTACCAAGATTTTTTATTTTTATTTTTTTTGGTACTGGGAATTGAACCCAAAGCCACACCCCTTAGTCTCTTTTTGTATTTTATTAGAGACAAGGTCTTGCTGAGTTGCTTAGGGCCTCACTAAGTTGCTGAGGCTGGCTTTGAACTTGTGATCCTCCTGCCTCAGCCTCCCGAGCTGCTGGAATTACAGGTGTGCGCCACCATACCCAGCCTTTTTTTTTTTTTTTTAATTGTGATTATAGAGAATGTGAAGCTGGACATGGACATCGCAAGTTCACGGCCAGTCTAGACAACTTCGCGGTGGGACCTTGTGTCAAAATAAAAATAAAGAGGGCTAGGGGTACAGCTCAGTGGTAGAGTTCTTGCCTAGCATGCATGAGACCCTGGGTTCCATCCCCAGCACCACAAAAACAAATAAATAGATAGATAAATAGGACTAGAGGTGTAACTCAATGGTAGAGTGCCCCTAGGTTCAACCCCAGAACCCCCCTACACACACACACACACACACACACACATAAATACCTGATGGTTTTATGTCTTCCCTAGCCCTTTTTATTTTTTGAGATGGGGCCTCGCAAAGTTGTCCAGGCTGTCCTCAAACTTGCCAGCCTCTTGCTTCAGCCTCCTGAGTCACTGGCATTGTAGGCGCGTGCCGCGATGCCCGGCCACGTCTAGCACTTCTGTGTGTGCATCGTGGTGCCATCTAAGTGTGTCCACTCTGCTGGGTTGGCTGGTGCCCCTGGCTGAGTCTTCAGTATTCTGAGTTCCTCTGTCTCTCTCTCCCTGTCCCCTGCAGGCTCCAGCTGGAACCTGTCCCTCCAGGAAAGGTGGATGGTGTTCAAGGTCTGAGTGGTGGCTATAGTGTGTGCCCCGTGGTTGGTGACTTTCCCCAGCCCTCCGCTTACACCTGCCAACTCTTCCAGGGTCTGCTGTGCTACATCGTGCCCTTGGTGCTGGTCTACTTTGCCGAGTATTTTATCAACCAGGGACTGGTGAGTGAGGGGTGTTGGGAGGGGCGTGGAAGAGGCAGTTGGTCCGCCGTCCGCATCCATCTCTCCTGTCTGGTTCTTTGCTGCAGTTTGAGCTTCTGTTTTTCCGGAACACATCCCTGAGTCATGCTCAGCAGTATCGCTGGTGAGAGGCAGAAGGGAAGGTGGCAGGGGGACACCCTCCCAGTGGGCTGGGAGGTCCCCTTGACGACGGGTACCTGGGGTGACGGGGCGGCCCTGCCCGGCTGGCACTCAGAGGGGCTTCCTGCTCCCTGCCCCCCACCTCAGGTACCAGATGCTGTACCAGGCTGGCGTCTTCGCCTCCCGCTCTTCTCTCCGTTGCTTTCACATCCGCTTCATCTGGGTCCTGGCCCTGCTGCAGGTACCAAGCCCCTTCCCGGCCCCCACTCCCACCTCGGCTCCCAGCTTCCCCAGGCCCTGCTGCTTCCTTCATCAGGAAGTGTTTATTGTGCACTAACATTTCTAAGCAGAGGGACCAAAGTCCGCAAGGGCTCCATGTACATTGTGTGGCCCCAGGAACCCGGCAAACTTGAATGCAAATCCCAGCTTTTGTACTTAGTAGCTATTTGACTTAGGACAGGTCTCTGAACCTCTCTGAGCCTTAGTTTCCTCATCTGTAAGTCAGATGTGGAGGAGTGGGAGTTCATTGGTAGAGAACTTATTTGGCTAGCATGTGCAAGGCCCTGAGTTTGATCTCCAGCACTGCAGAAACTAAAAAATAAATAAACCAGTTGTGGGTCAGCATCTATTTCTCAGAGTAGTTATTAGAAATAGAGCTGAGAAGAATAATGTAGGGCAAGATTTTGTGTTGTGTTTTAATCAGTTAGAGGCACTTATTCAATGAGACAGTATTTCTTTTTCTTTTTTTTTTTTT